TTATGTTAATATATGACATTCATCCATATAGATGGAGACTAACAGTAGTCATACATTATTCAGCTATGTTAAGAAACGAAGCACTTTGCTGATCTATGGCTACAGTAATAACAAAAAAGAAGGAAAGCTTTTACGACGACATTACTTCTGCAAAATGTAATTCGCATTCCATTGATTTCGTATATAGATTCCCCATAACTGCTAGCCATTTCAAATGCCTATCAAATGCGTTACGTTTCTCTGCAAAGACCCTCTATTTTTTATGCGTTTTTCAAAGTGGCAATTTCCAGTTTGTCTTTCATTGCTCCATCTTAGACAATCCACCGGAACCTCCGCAGCACAAGCCAAATTTGCACAGGTTCCGCAGGACATTGTTTAGAAGTAAAAAGTAGAAACTTCGAGAATAGGAACTTCCGCAGGATTTTCACGTCAAACCGCTTAAAAAGGGGAAATTCCGCAGTACGAGTACGGAACTTTCGCAGGTGACTCAGCGGGACCTCTCCAAATGTTTTGTGGAAATTCCGGTCAGTTGTCTGAGATGTTCATCATGTGACTAGCAAATGGAAGTTCAAACAGTTCCACTCAAAGCATGGCTATGTTTGTACAGCGGCTAATAAGTTCAGACAATGTGCTGGTTTGCCGTCGGAAAGAATTTTCGTTAGCTATGCGCGTGTGATGTGTATCTATGAGATTTATGGTGAAAGCTAAAGAAAACGGAATCTGCTTCCCTTCTCCCTATTATTTTTCATATGTTCTAATTTGCATAAACACTGCTATCACCCTGGTAGAAGCCAATGCATGGGCTTCGGAAACATGAAAAATCACCTTAAAACCACAAAGAGGATTTCATGGTGGAAGTTTTGGGGAAATTCTTTGTATTGAACTAGGTCATGATCACAATAAGCACAGACAGCGAAGACAGCATATTTTAACTCTATGAATATTTTGGACATTTTTTTTATCTATATGTTCCAGCTTGGCAGTCACTTAAAATGTTTAATAACTTACTTTCAGGATTCGGAAGAGAATTTACTGTAGAAAAGTAGAAGAAACATTTGTGAAACCTGTGCCAGACAGTTTACTTTTTGTAGTGCACAGATCATTTTGGCAGACGTCAGCTGTGGTATTAAAAAAACGTCTGTGTCTACAACAGAAATTCTAGCAGAGAAAATGGTGTGACGCGGAATTTAGTGGCTTATCGTCTGTTCGCTAACATTGCTCTTGCTGCTCCCAGATTTTGCCGTCTCCTCTCTTTTCTCTTTCTCCTCCTTTCTTCTAAGTCAGTACTTTCTGAAGATACGACTGCTCTTCATATTTTTAAAACTATAGCTAGGACCAACTTTTTTGCGTTTCGTCTTCACGCGCATATAGAATGGACTTGTACTGTGGTATGTAATTACATCGCTTGCACCGAACATGCGATTTGTCTATAGTTCAAGCTGTCGGCGCTTCTCTAATTTCACTGTAAAATACCATCACATGAGTTGCTCTCAGCGAGCCGTCTAAACACGTAATTGCGCAAAATTGCTCTGCTGTGGGACAATAATAGCTTGTGAGCGTCCTTTAGGTATGTCAAGTAAAGGGCCGGACATACTACACGCGATTTGGTAACTCGCCAAAAGTCTTCATATTCAACATTAGCAAACTGTGTATATAACTTACCTGGATTGATAAAATGCCCTATCTTCTCTACATTTAAAATGTGCTTACAAAAGAGTTGTGGACAGTTGGAATAATGCCAAATCGCGTAGCGACTAAAATCGCGTGCAGTATGCCCGGCCCATAAGACTATTCTAGAAAACCAATATGACAGTTTTTGGATAAACAAACGGATTTTATATTCAAAGGGTTAGAAAGATAATAATTTTAGCTTGCGTTCTTTCTAGTTTATGACGTTTTTACGAGAGTTTCTTTGTTTATGGACTACCCGTAACATTCAAAGTATTTTTGGAAAGACCTTTATGATAGTTTGTCGAATTCCCAATAGAACTTCAAACCTATATATGAATGCGTATCGTACAATTTTTGTACTCTCTGGCTTCCTTTATGGCTCCAACTCTCAAGCATATGTCCGGTTAGCTCCTTAGTCACGATTACTCTCATCTCTGCTGGTCACTTGCGGGTCAGCTGACTAATTCCTGCAAACCGCTGCAAGAAATGTCCGAAATCCAAGCCTGTAATGACTACATGTCGTTTTTTTTGCCTGCTCTTATTAGCCCTCAAAATTTCAAGAAACTTCCAAAGCAAATCAGCGACCATAGTTTTCTGTCGAAAAATTTTGCTAACAATTTATGAGAGCGAACATGAGTTGAGCAAAAGACATTTTTTACCGTACCGGCCTCGGATAGACGTTGTTTTAAAAACATGTAGTGCAGGTATTCTGTTGCAGTGTGTGTACTGGACATTTTTCCTGAATAAGACGTGCAAGGTTGATAAAATAAAATAAAGAGATTACAATGTGATTTGTTTTTGGTGCTTTTGGTGTTCTATGTGGAAAGCGTGTATTCCAACATCTCTGTCGAGTAGACTTTCCTTGAAAGGGAGCCAATAATATAGTGAAGATCTTGATAAAGCTAAAATTTTGACATTTTCGTGGGTTTTGGTCCGTACTTTGTTTTTTTATAATCTAAAGTTCTTTTCAAATATTTTTGGCACGGTTTGGAAACTGTACAACCAGCATCTTAATTGTCACAATGCAAGCCACTAAATTATTTCTCAAACTGAAAAAAAACCTTGAGAAACTGGATTTTACTTCTATCGCTACTCAGACAAATCACCGGAACTTCCGCAGAACAAGCCAAATTTGCAGAAGTTCCGCAGGATTTTGTTCACTATTGCAAAAATGAAAACGCTGAAAATCGGAACTTCCGCAGGACCTCATTTCGGAACTTCCGCAAGTGCTCTGCGGAAGTTCCGTAAACGTGTCATTTGTCTATATAAAAGAGCTAAGTAGATATATTATACTGAATACTTCATGCGATGCTTATACTTTTCTCTTCCTGGAACCTAAGTTCGCTTCAACACCTGTTCCGCTCAATCATCTTCCATACTTTTTGTCGTCCAACTGTCGTCAGAGCTCTTTCAAGTATGTGAACTAATCACATCTTCTCCGACAAGTAATCTTGACCTTTGCCTTAGGAATAATTTGATTTCATCATTTTCTTCGAGAATTTCCTATTCATATTGCCTTACAACCCAGAGTTTTGAAAGTTCGCGCTTGGCTGAGCCATAGAGCATTGGTGGACGATTTATTCAGTCTATGTTCATTGTGCTCCTGTACTTCCATTCTTCCTGGTGGGAACTACTGACATGTTAGGGGGGCTATCTATGTAGTCACAATAGCTAATTTATAACCATTGTACATAGTACAGGGCTGATATACACCAACAGTTCATAAACATTTGCACTTAGTAGCGTGATTTAACCATAGATATTATAATATTTGAGATTATTCCTTTGTGCACGTTTTGCTAGTAATTTCTCTGGAACAATTCATCTTTCCATCAGTTTTGTTCTAAAAAATTCCCTTCGTCTTGATTCTGTCGTAAGAAATCTGCTTTTTAAATTCGGTTTTTATCCCCTTTTCCCTCATCCCTTTTTACTTTTTCACCACATATAATTTATCCTCTTTTATCGATATGCGTTACGGTTATGGCCAGCGCTATTGATACTGCTTTTATTTGCAGGTGCATATTTTTCTGATTGAATTTTCTCCCTAGAATGTTTGCTGCCTCACTATTTCTTACAAAGCTCAAGTGTTTTTTTAACCGATAGTTATTATACTATTCAAAAAAAACTGAACAACTGCGATGGAGCATAGCTTCTTTTTTTAAATATTGAGCACGGCTAATTTCTGATTTCCAATTTTTGATTGCATCAACTGTAATACTCGTGAGATAAATGGGAAATTGCTGCCTTTATCACAATTTTTGAAACAGACTTTTTATTTAAGATATCCTAAGTATGATAAATTCCGAAAAATTCCTATATCTATGCGACAGTGGCGTACCCGGGATTTCGGCTCGCGGGAGGGAGGGGGGGAGGGAGCGGCAAAAATTTTTTTCCAATTAGGGTGCGTGGCTTCAGCCGCGCACTCCGAAAAACAAAAAATTTTGCTTTCTAAAATTTTCGCGGGCTCATAACCCCGAAATTTCAGGAAAGGGGGAGTGACCCCCGAAAAATTTTTATAAGGCTGAAATGGATTTTTAAAAAATTTTAAAAAGTATTTTCATTGTTTATGAGTATGGACAAGTCATTTGCGCAAGTGAAAATGATTGAGAGTTTTAGCTTTTGATCTTTACTCTCTCTCTCTCTAACAACGCGGTTGACAAGCTGTCTGCACTTATGTATCATCTCTCTTCTTTGACGTCATCACTATGTTCGCAACTTTTTCACTTTGCCAAAGGTGTCATTGCCATAATGTCATAATGAGCTGACATGATGATAGCTTTCTATGAAATTGTGCAATTATGCGTTACAAGTTCCTAATGTTATGTACGCAATGTTTCGTGTTGCTTGAATAATTTGTGTTCCCAGCATAGTGTTACTTTTATTCGTTGGCTTCTTTAGAGACTATTTCACAGTATGCTTACTTTACCACTTTTTAATTCACGCGAATTTGCGTACACGTGTAGTTCGTAAGGGCTTTGCAGCACACTATACGCAGTTTTGCGTTAACTTCAAACGCCTTTTTGAGATTATATCCCACTTGCTAGACAGCTTCTGCCTCACAAAATCTGGAAAATTAGTACACCGTATTCCTTTCCCTTCAACGTAAATGACTAAATTCTGCAGAAGTAAGTACTAAATTCCAAATTTATATCTTAGCTTTCAATTTTGCACTTCACCTCCTCTCTTCTTTTTGTAATCTTTCATAATCACACAATCTCATTCAGAAGAATGAATGCCTCTTTTTTTGACGTCTCGCTGATGTCATTGTTCGCGTAGGGAATGCTTTACGCTTAACGATAATCCGCTTCATAAAAAGTCCGCAATTACAGATGACAACCGCAAACCCACAACAACGACAATTCACGCTGTTCCGCAAGTTTAGCACCGAAGTTCGACCACCGCCTTTGGTACGGCGAGATGAGCGTATCCGATCTATGAATTGTTCTTTTGAAGAAATTGCCGAGTCGGAAGAAGAGGACAATCAGGTAAATATGGTTAAAAGGGTTAAATCAGAATCTTCTTTTTCCATCCTTCTGTCTAACCCTCTTTTTCACGCAATTCTCTAAAATGGTGTCTAGACATAAACACGAGCAATCAGTTTCTGTGATCATCACGAACATTTGTATGGATGTTCGAGCAATTGCCTTTATGATTCCAAGGTGAAACTGGAGAAACACTTTGTCTCTTGCTATCATCGTCATCTTTTATGTTTTGAAATGTTCGCTATGTTTTTTATAATCATCATGAAATCATAATCATAAGCACATGACGCTTTTCAATTTTTCTGGACAGGTATCGGATGTCTTAATGTTAGAGCATTTTCTGAAGACACACTCAGTCAAACATTTCCAAAAAAGTGCAATTATCTGCTATATGGACATGAAATGTGCTAAAACTGAGCTCAGAACACTTAGATCTATGGCTGCGACGAGTAGACCGAGAAGATTTATGGGCTCTTGGGGTTTTCAGGGCGAAGCATACTGAGATATCACTTCTTCAACTTGACATGCTGGAAGCAAAACATTGGTGGGCAAGGGGAGGGAGTAGATGTGGAATTTGGGTAAAATTTTGATCATAGGCAATAGGTTGTCCCAAAAGTAAACTCCTCTTTTGAATAACTCAAGCTGTTTTTGTCCTCCTAGTATGTGTAGGGTGTCATTCGATAAAGCAGATCAAGCTCTACAAAACGACTGCCAAGGGTCCGCCTAAGTCGCCTTCCATGTAAAGTTTGAAGCCAAAATCGAAAAAAAAATTTTGTCACCTAAAAATTGAATTTCTGCGACAAAGAATCCTACAGACCTCCAACTTGGTCGTAGGCATAGTAGTACACAAGTATGCATTTACTGGATTTTTTCCGAGCATAGAAAGAAAGAAACAAAAATTGTCCAAAAATGGCAATCCGCCCCCAGCCCCTCCCATTTATATCTTTGTATACTACAAACCTTTCTAAGCATAATTTCAGAACCTTATCGCTGTATGTGCTCTTATAATCGAGAAATGCCATGTTATACATGAAAAACCTGAAAAAAGTGGCATTTTGGCATTTTGGGACCCTCTTCGTTTCTCAATTTTGAGCCCCGGAAAAAATCCAATAAATACATGTTTGGGTAGTACTATGTGTCTACTATATAAAGACCAAGTTGGAAGTCCGTAGGAATTTTCTGGAAGGAGATCCGATTTTTAGGGTAGCTGAAAAATTTTGATTTTTGGCTCCAAAATCTACCAGTTACGAATTAGGTGGAACTTTGGTAGTCTTTCTGTAGAGCTTGCTGCGCTCTACCGAACGGTACCCTAAATCTGTCAAAAAAAAACAAGTCAACTTAAGCTATTTGAAAATGGAGTTTACTTTTGGGACAACCTAATAATTTCGAAAATTGTTGTCACTGTGCGAATAACGGATCGCCTTAACCTAGAGGAAGTTATTAACTTTCCTCCTGTTTCTTCTCGCTCTCTCTACTTGATATTTTTTCACGAATTATCTATCCCCCTAACGAATTTCGGCGGCATTTTTCTTCCATTCAGTAAGACCAAACATCTACGATGTTTTCACGTCAGTCGTAATTTCTTGCTCTTTTCAGCTCCCAGAGAGAACTTCACCTGTAGGACGATCGCCATTTGCTGTCGCTGAATCACCGTTTGCTGAACGACGCGGAAGCTCTCCTCGAAACTCGAGCCCAACTTATGCGAAGTAGGTAAACCACAACCACAACGAGAAATTGAGTATTATACGGTCTTATCTCTAGAAAGCTCACTGCACCTCGATTGTGTCGTGGATTTTCCGATCCGGGTCCTCGTCGTCGACAAACATCAACTATGTTTGGTTCATTAAGTCCGGATCGACATGAAGCTGGGTCAGATCTGTTGAGTAAGTTTTCTCTATAAAATTCTAGGGAAAACATAATTATTGAATATACACGCGGAAAAAAATTTCTACAACATTTAATAGATAAACGTTTCTAGATGGTCAAGAATTATCCCTCTAATTGTCAGTGTATTGAATCCTTCTCTAGTTATTTTTTTTGCACGAAATGAAACCAAAATAAATTTTGAACAAAGTTTTTTTTTTCGTGTAAAACAGCGAAGGTTAATTTAGCATCATTAAGGTGAGTATTTTTTCTCAAAAGTTGGGGGTTTTTTTTGACCTATGTCTTTCAGTTTCCAATTTTGGCAACTCCCCTCCATGACTATTTTTGGCTAGATGATAGCATCCTTAATGGTTGCTGAAAAATTAAAGGAGCGCTGCCAATTTCAAATAAACTTTAGTGATTTATAAAAATTGTGATTTATAAAACTAAAAATTAACCAACAAACTTTGCAAATTTGAATGTGATTTCACCCTTTATCCACATGAATCAAAAGGCTACAAATTTTTGTTCTACCCTTTATGACTAATTATTTGATTTGAATTTAATTTAATTTTTTATCCATGTCTTTCAGCCCTTCCACCCATCCCTGAAGCCGTCACTTCATCAGCTGATTGCAAAGATGATTGCAACGAGGTCTAGCTTTACTATACGAGTTCTCTCGTCACTTGCTCAACTGTCAGTTGAAATGACAGCTGACCACAGTTCAATGACCATGAAATTTTCTCAGCGAGAAAGCCAAATTACTTCTGTATATAATGAAAGATCAAACATTTCTTGATCGTAGCACTTCACAAAACCTTATCTCCTCCCTCGAACAACTAGTCTATTCTGTCAGTTGATTACCAATGATACGAACGTCTTCACCTTTGTGATCTCCTTCTAGTCTCTCGTTGTATGAACTATTTCCTTAATTCTTCTTTATTTTCAAATTCTGATTATTTCGCGAACGAGTTTCACCTATTCACCTCCCATATTTGGAAGACCTGTTTGTTTTTTGCGACTTTTTGCTGATATGGATGCATCTTCGGGTTGAGTTAAAGCCTTAATATTGATTAATCCTCTTTTTAGTTCCATTCATGTAGGCCGATAAATTGCATATTGTTTTTTTATATTTGATCTTCCGTGTGTTTTTTATGGATGTTTCTTCGGGTTATGATTAGCCTTGAATAATTTTCGTGCGGGTCTAGGATTGAAGAATGTGCTATTTGCCTTTTTCCAATAAAATTTTCAAATTATATGTGGCTACAGGCAGAGTTAGGTTTCATTTATTTTCTAGAAGCTTTGGATCTGAATAACAATGCAGACGAATTATCATTGTTTTCCAAAAGATTCTGTGGCTTGAAAAATCCTTGTTTCTTCTAGATATGCTAATTTTGAATAGTATTTCATAGTCAAGGGTAATTTTTGAAAGTATGCTCGAATTTTATTTTCATATCAACGATTAAGAGGTCATAATTGGCTGAAAAAGACCTTTTGTGGACTTTTTGAATGTTCATTATAAAAAAAATTATTAGCTTTTTTGCAGAGATAAAAGAATAGGGGCAGAAGAAATGAGAATTCTTACTCATGAAAAAATATGGTTTATTTTTACCAAAAAATTTGGTGGATCGTAAGAAAATTACTTCATACAGTTGTCGAATTTTCATGTGGATCACACAGTTCAAAAGAACCTGACATTAATCGAGTGTGTTCGCTAAGAGGCTTCGCTTTATATCACGCTTTCTAGCTAGCATCTAAATATGTAGTAAATGTAAATTGCAAGATTACCCAAATTTTTCGAAAAGGGTTTTTCTGCCTTTATAGAAAATTTGCGGTTTTTTGCAAGTACAAAATTTGCATCAACATATCTCTAATGTCACTCTTTCGTACATGCGTTGTTTAGATATCCTTTTATTTCTTTTTTCATGTATTTTACAAGTGTCTCGACAGTTTTTATCGCCCAGGAGATTCCCAATGTTTTTTATCTGCGCAGTGTTTTTTCCAAAGGCATTTGCTCAGACTTTTTGATCTTTTGGCTCAGCACAGACAATGTAATCCTGTTCGGCAACATCGAAAAGAGCGCAAACATCAGGCATGAACAGCTTGGCAAACACGATGGTAGCGCCTCGACAAGAGCTAAGTGTGAAGTGGTCTGTATGACCTTAGTATTATTTCTTAGATTCAGAAAAAAAATTCTGCGAATTTTCAGTGTAGAATTTTAGTGTAAATTCTGGAAATTTTCTTACTTTTATTCCCAGGACACAAGACCAAATTTCGTTAGAAATTCACTCGACAAGGAAAGCTGAATACAGATTTGTGAAGCGCAAGGAAGCCCAAAAAGATTGATAATATACCACACAATTCATTTGCTTAAAATTTCCCGTTACTGTCAATCTTTATCAGGTCAGCGTACCGTAGCTGATCGCTAGCTCGCAAGTGAATACTTTCGGTAGAGAAGTGAAAGGGCGTCAAAAGTGAAGGTTGTTTGAATGTCTGCCCTTCATAGTGAAGGTTGTTTATAGAAAATCAGAGAAGAGAAAAGATGAAGAATAGGTAGCAAAAGCTAAAGGAAGTCTTGAAAAATTGAATAAAAAGCTGCAATGAGTTTAAAATCTTTAGTGATCATCAAGAAGAAGATGAACAAGAGAAGCACTGGTTATGAAACCGCAGAAATTTGATTTGACTGAGTTGAAGTACACGTCAGAGCCAACCTAATTCTAATGCGTCCTTTAAAGGCAGCGTCCAGGCAAGATCCATCAACCCAGATTAGCACATAGATGTAAAGAGGTGCCCATGAGTATCCGATCTGCGTTGGCCCAATCCTTTGACGTGCCCTCTAAAAGGAGATACGGGCCTGTGATACGTATCACAAGTCGCCCCTTCGTATCACAAACCATCCCTGAGGACGAGTGCTTACGCAGGTGTGCGGTTGCATTGCAGTTGCATTGCAGTTGCACTGCACACTGTTTCGAGAAATTCGAAACTCGTCCGCTCCTTGAAAAGAGGGTCCCCAAGAACCGGGTTTTTTGGGAGTTTTGAACAATTTGGACTTTACAACTGTAACCAGGGCCACGGAAAGGCCCCAGAATGGCAGAAACATGAGAGGCGAAATTTTGCCCGGACGCTGCCTTTAAATTTGTACCCCCCTTCCCGAATTAAGTTCCTGTTTCCTGGAACGTTGTCTGGATTTTTGAGCTCATTATCGCCCCTGGAAAAAAAATCGCTGCAAAAACACTGAAGGGGAACAAGTTGAAGAAAAACTCACTTTCCACGATTTTTTGAGAAAAAAACGGCAATAATCGAAGAGTAAGCTCTGGGAGTTTGTCTACTTTTGAACAGAAGCAAGATCTATCAAAAGCGCGAAAAAATTGCTTAGAAAGAGTTGAGCAAGAGAAAAAACAAGAGATTTTCGAAAACATGGTTTTCTCCAGATTTCTTGTTAAAATCAGAAGTGGGATTTTGGGGAATTGTCAGCGAAATTAGGGATGAAAAGGTTTAAATCGATATATGCTTTGCTAGAATTTGCGTTCCAACGAAGAAAAGGGTACCAAAGCCAAATGCCCCGCATTTGGGGTAGCGAGGTAGCGCGCAACGCGCGGAGACGCAGGCGAGCAGAGGAGGAGGACCAGAGCCGAATTTGGCTCACTACACATTCAATTTCAGTCTTCTTCTTTTACTTATACGTTTTTGATTTTGCTGTATGTCGTCATCGATGGATAACTGAGACAGTAGTGGGTAGCTTGAGTTGCTTGATTATTGACACTCAGCAATGCTTCGTGTTTCTGGCTATCAAATATTTAGCATTACATTTGCTTTTCTCCGCCTAGATAAGAAACGAAGTTTCTTTCCCCTCACAATCAGCTAAAGGAAGCTGGGTACATATCTTATGACAAGTGAGTAGTATTATTTCTTGTTTCTTATTAACTGGTAGAAATCACAAACCGTTGCAATATCTCAATTCATTGGGTCAAAACTTGCATAATTCAGCTATTCTGACAAAAAAGAGAGACTATGAGCCAACTGTAAGCCTCTGAATTCCGCCTAGATATAGGAAAAAGTGTGATTATTTCCTTCGATCCATCACAGGATCCTTTCCAAGTTATCTTGGACGAAGAAGTTTGAACTGAAGTTTTCTTTTACGAATACAAATCGAACACCCTTCAAATCCGACTTGATAAGCTCGAGCTAAAAATTTCCATTTTACCATAAAACCTTATCTTAAGTTAAAACCTTAGCTCAAAATTCACCAAACATAAATGCATTCTAGCATAGTAGTCGTCAAAAGAAGCCCTTGATCCAGTTAGTCGAGTGGATCAATGTGTGCATTTGATCCCCTGAATATGATCGACATGCTTCACTAAGCCATTGCAGCTAAAATTCGATTTAAAGGCAGCGTACACCCAAAACAAATGCAACAGATGTTGCAACAGCAACTGCAACTGCAATTGCAGCTTACGCTGTTATGGATTCGTCCGGAGGAGGCGGAGCGAAAGAAAAGGGGCGGCATAAAAGAAAATTGAGGGAGGTTTTCTCCGCTCAGAAACAACATTGGGAGACGGGACCAACGCAGTTGGTCTTCTTCTGGGCCCAGTATATACAAGGTGTAGAAAGATCTTGGAAATTCGGCAACTCAAATTTTGGGTGTACGCTGCCTTTAAACCCAGCTTAAAACTGCTATGCTTGGATTCCTTACGATCTTTAGAAAAAAGTACGTGCTGGAGTGTAGCGTTGGATCTCTCGTCACGAAAATTTTGAGCCGCTTCAGGCAACTATTTAGCCAAGGCACCTTTGCTACTAACCATGTAGTTTCCTGTTTTGCAGATCTGTTAGACACAGTTTTCATTGAGTACTAGGTAAACAGTAGCCTAGCAATTTTTCTTTTTCAGAAAACAACAAACTCGGGTTTTTTTTCTAGTAACCTTCAGCTTGTTTCGATAAGCTGTGCCCTCTTCTCGATCAGCGTAGCAACTCATGTATTCCTGCTTCTAGAATCACTAGACGTGGCGGCTCTTTTTAAAAATCTTTATTCAATATGACAGATATTCCCCTCCATCTCATCAGCTTCCTTGATACTTTGTCCCATGTTAGGATCTATGTGCAACGTCTACCTATATTGCTTTTAGAAGTGTTTTGTGTGGAAGCTTGCATATCAACATAAAAGATTTTCTCAAATCAGTCCCTCATTTATTCGCTTTAATGGCAATGTGATCGTTCATATAAATGATTTGAGTCTCAATTTATTCATTCATTCTATTCATCTTTACAAACCTTTCAAATTTCAATCTTTAGTCATTCATTTGATTATTCAATTCACTCATTGATCTTTCAGTTATCATATCCGCTAATTCATCCAGGAACAGCTCTCCCCGTATCCGCGCTAAGATCACCTTTCAAGTGACTGAGAGGTGTTCGTCGAATTGATGGAGCAGTTGTCCGTTGTTCTTCTGCATCGCAACAAGACTTTCCATCGCCTTGGCTTGTCTCTATAATTCTGGATTCCATTTAAAGAAATGCACCCAACAGAATTGATGACATCCCTCGATGGAGTTTTGCGCAGAAATGCACAGAAGTTTTATCATTTCGTTGCAATTCCTACTAACAAAGGAAGGTTACCAACTTAAATTCGCCTTTTGAAATCACTACGTAACATAGTTTGGGGT